TCTGCTGTCTGCAGTGAGGTCTGGGAGTGTGCATGCCCCCCAGGCTCCCAGGCAAGGCTGCTGCTGTGGCCCCCCTGGTCTCTGTTAGTCACAGACCTTTAGGGGGTGATGCACGGGCTCCTGTCATGTCATGGAATGTCCTCTCCTTTGGGCCAGGAGGCTTTGGGGCTGCTGCTCACTGCGGGGTGACCTCGGGCGAGTCCCTTGCCTTCTCCAGATCCAGTGCTCCCATCTGTACAGCAAGGCAGGATGAGACAGAAGCTCTTACTCTGCTGGGCAAGCCTGGCAGAGGGGGTAGGAGTGGGGTCTGGAGTCAGGCTGGGTCTGACTTCGCCTCTAGGGAGCTGTGTGACCTTGGGCAAGTGACTTAACCTCTCTGTGCTTTCAGTTATTGCCTCAGAAATGAACCAGTCAGACTAGATCGTTTTTAAGTGTCAATCTCACTGAATTAACAGTTGAGGATGGTGGGGAGAGAGAGGTGAGGTTCTAGGGCTGCTCAGATGGTGAAGGACACGTTCCCCCACCTGCCCAAGCCTTTGAGGTGAACCTACTCCCTCTCTGCCCCGACTCCCTCTCTCCTTCCGCTCTCCCCTGCCCTCCCCTTCCCTTCCTGTTTCCTTTGCACACAAGTTATTTTCAGCAGCCTCAGCTGAATCAATCAGATCTGTGGGCATGATCGGGGTGCCCTCGGCAAAACCACTTCCCCTCTGTGGCCACAGCACCCTCATCTGTAAAATGGGCACGTGACTCCTCCCCCGGCTGCATGGACAGCGCTTGGCCCAGGGCCATGCGCTCGGTAGGCCCCTCTGTCAGTTCTTTAATGTGGAGGCGAAGGGCTGGGCTCTGGAGCCAGACAGCTTGCGTGGAATCTCTTCCAACCGACCAGCTGTTGGCCTTGGACAAGTGACCTAACCTTTCTGTGGCCCAGTTTCCTCATCGGTAAAATGGGGACAGGCGTAGTCACTGCTTCCTGGGGCTGCAGTGAGGATACGCAGCAAGGGCCCAGCACACTGCCTGGCTGTCAGCCGTCTGGATGACTCCACTGATGATGGCGATGATGATGGGATGGTGCGGACGCTAAGCCAGGCATGGTGTGGAGCTGGGGACAGAGCAGGGGACGAAATACATCCCTTCCCCAAGGAGTTCCCAGTGCAAGGGAGAGACGCCCTCCCAGGCAGGGACAAGTTCACAGCTGTCAGTGCTGATATGGGGGAGCCCAAGGGGCTAGGGGAGCCCAGAGCAGATCCTCCCCCCCACCCCCCCAGGCAGGGAAGGCTTCCTGGGAGCTGCTCCCCAAGCTGAGACCTGAAGGGGGAGCAGAGACCCTTTGAATAATATGAACATGTGTCCGTAAGGATTTTGTATAAGAAAGTAATTGGACAAGCGTGTTCATTACAGCTAAAAAGTTGAGAATAACCGAATCAACCACCAAGAGAGTATTAATCGAATAAGCCAGGGTGCATTGAGTCAATGAAATGATTAAGAGCTGGTCAAACAGGGTGAGATACATGTACCTGGTCACTGAATGAAGAAGCAGGTTACGACATGGCACGCAGAGTAGGACTGAGTCATTTTATATTTACATATGAAATACGTGTGTGTGCGTGTGTGCGTGCGTGCATGTGTGTGTGTGTGTATGTTCATACCAGAGTGCTACTACTATGATTCATCTTGGAGGATCAGGGCTTGGGATGAAAACAGAATGTGTCTTTAAGCTACACAGGGCCTGAACGTAGTTAAAGGTCTGATGTATTCTGCCCAGAAATGGTATGTCACTGCCTATCCCTATCACGTATGTGACTTTTGCTTTCCTATAACATTTAATAAAAGGAAACATGATAAAACATTGTCATCTTTGTTCATTTGATACTTAAAAAACCTCATTGCTGTTTTACTTTACAAAAAAGAAAAAAGAAAAAGAGGGAGCAAGAGGTCATCAGGCCCGGACAGGGACAGGAAGGGCACCCAGGTGGGAGGAACAGCACGCACGGAGGCCTGGGGTGAGAGGCACCAGAGCGGTGGGACACCCAGCAGCCAGCAGTCTGGAGGCCCTTGTCGGGAGCATGGTGCTTCCCCAGCTGAAGTGCTCCCCGTTTGTGCTCAGCCAGTGGGCACGGCTCCCAGCTGGGTTTGGCCGCCAGAGGGGCGGGTCGACCCCAGCAGGCCTTGCCACCGGCCACCACCCAGCAGCCCAGGCCCTGGCTGGCAGGGACAGCCTCCCCGGCCGCCCCCGCTCCCTGCAGCTGGCCGCCCCCGCCCTCGTTCGGCCCAGTTTCCTGCCCCTCCCTCCCGCTCCCTCCCTCCCTCCAGCTGTTTTCTGGCGGAGTCTGTCCCTTGTGGGACAGCAGCCCCAACCAGCTCGGAGCTCAGCACAGACTGGTCTCCCCAGGTACCTCTCAGGGGGTGAGGGTGTTCTAGGGCGGGAGCCGGGCTGCGCTCTGTGGGGCTCAAGGAGCTTTTGAATGAATGGATGAACTGCTTTCCGGGCAAACAGCCACAGCCACCGAACAGTGTGATTGGGAGAAAGGAGTCGGGAACGGGGCCTCCTGCACAGCCCGGCGTGGCCTGAAGCCGAGGGGAGCCCTCAGGAAGACCTGGGCGGAACCAGCCTCAAGGTACCATGCGTGGCTTTGACCCACCTGCAGGGGCCAGGACAGGGGCGTGCTAGTCCAGGAGACAGGTCTTCCCCTTTGGTTCTTCTTAAAAGTTAACTTTTATCCAAATGACTGGAATTCTACTCTGATGTTCAGATTTCCAATGGCATGCGTGCACATTGTAAAAACCGGCGAGCTCACCGGAATGTTAAAGGCAGGAAGCTCAGCGTTTCCCTTCGTTCCTCTGTTCATCTCACAACAGCCCCACGAGGGCGGTGCTTTCAGAATCCCCATTTTATAGGCGAGGAAACTGAGGCTCAGAGAGGGAAGGGCATGGGCTCAGGGCTGTAGGGAGAGTCAGCTGGGAGGTCAAGACTGGAATGAGCCTGGTCAGTGTGGCTCGGTGGTTGAGCGTCCACCTAGGAACCAGGAGGTCATGGTTCAATTCCCGGTCAGGGCCCAGGCCCAAGGTTGCAGGCTCCATCCTGAGCTGGGGGGTGTGCAGGAGGCAGCTGATGAATGATTCTCATCATTGATGTTTTTTTCTTTCTCTCTCTCTCTCTCTCTCTCTCTCTCTCTCTCTCTCCTTTCTTCTCTGAAATCAATTTAAAAAATTGTTTTAAAAAGGATTGGAATGAAATGAGGGTCATCACCACGGGGCAGCACCGACTCTCAGGACAGAGACAAAAGAGGGGTCCTAGTGCAGAGGTGGTCTCCCAGGTGCCCGTCCCATCAGTCACTCGCTCACTCTCTCACTCACTCAGTCACAGACCCATGATGTCTGTTGGGTGCCTGCAATGTACCCGACACATGTAAGCACGTAAATGGGGATACACACACTCACTTACCCCCCCACCCCCGTTTCTAAAATTAAATTTATTGGGGTGGCATTGGCTAAAACGATTGTACCGGTTTCAAGTGCACAGTTCTACCATACGTCACCTGTCTATTGCATTGTGGTTTCACACTCACTTTTGTGCTTCACCTCGGACTGTGGGCCCCCTTCCCTGTCATCTTCTTCCTCCACCACCCAAATGACGGCATGGAAAACGTGTCTTGCCTTGGGGTTTATTGAATCATTTCTCATCGGGTTGTTTCCGATTATGAATAGCGCTGCAGTGACCACTCTAGGACGACATCTTTGTGTTTGGTTGTTTTTTTCTTATTTTATTTTTTTGGTGTGTGTGTGTTTTTAAATATATTACTTTATTGATTTCAGAGAGGAAGGGAGAAGGAGAGAGAGATAGAAACATCAATGATGAGAGAGAATCATCGATTGGCTGCCTCCCGCACACCCCCTACTGGGGAACGAGCCCGAAACCCAGGCAGGTACCCCTTGGCCGGAATCGAACCTGGGACCCTTCAGTCCGCAGGCTGACGCTCTATCCACTGAGCCAAACCGGCCAGGGCTGTGTGTGTTTGTTTTACGGACAGTTTTCCAGAAGTGAAATCGCTGGGTCAAAGGTTTGTCTGTTTTTAAGGATGTTGAGGCTTTGGGACATATTGTCCCCACTGGTTGTGCTGGCTTGCACTTCCCTGGCCCTGTCCTGGGTGCAGTATTCTCCCAGCTCTTACTAGTAAAACGTCCCTGATGAGAAAGGTGAGCTAACACGTGGCCACCTCACTGTACATTCCTTTATCAGCACCGAGTAACCTTTATAATCTTATTGTTCCCTTTTTTAAAAAAAATAATTATCCTCTTCAAGTCCATTTCCACTTTCTGTTCCCTGTGAGCTTGTTCACCTTTTTCTTATTGACATTTAAGGGTTTTTTTTTTTTTTTGTCTATGAAAGCTCTGAACCCTTTGCCCGCGGTCTCTGTTCAAAGTTTTCCACTCTCCTCTCTGTTTTCAGATGAGCACATTTTAAATGGGAAAGCCACAACAATGAGGTTTGTGGGCAAAATTACAAGAAAATAACACGTAATAACTAAGTGCAGTCGACCATCCCTCCATATCTCGGGTTCCGCATCTGCAGATTCAACCAACCGCAGGTCAAAAAATTTTTTTGTCAAAAAATAAATAAAAGTTGTTTGCTGTTGCTAACATACACTACGTGTAATTTAGTTACAATAGATGCATCTGCATCTTTTCCTCGTTATTCCCTAAACAATAGAGTATAACAACTATTTACACAGCATTTACATAGGATTAGGTGTTATAAGTCCCCCAGAGATGACTCAAAGTATATGCGAGGATGTGCGTGGGTTATGCACAAGCACCACACCGTTTTATGTGAATGATTGAGCATTTGTGGGTTTTGCTATCCACCGGGGTCGTGGAGCCAACCCCCCGCGGATACGGAGGGATGCTGGTCATGCTATTGGGTGTGGCTCAGAGAGGGGAGTGAGACAGCAGCCAGGCCCTGGGTCTGCTTTCTCTTTCCCCGAAGGGCCTGGGCCCCAGTTTCCCTTCTGGAATCCCCTACTTCCTTTTCAAGACCAACCTCCTTGCCGCTCTTGCTGTCTCTTTTGCTTCCTCCAACTTGCCGAAAGGAAAAACTTCTCCAAATGTCTGTGTCGCTGAAATGATCAGCGTCGGCTAAGTCAGGCCTCTGCTGGCGGGAGGAAGGCGGCTTGACATTTTCTTAGAAGGTTTAACTGAAACCCGCGATGCTCAAGCCGTGTGGTGCCCGGCATTGAGAAGCCCAAGGGTGGAGTTGTTTATCCCTTGGTACACAGGGACCTTCGCTGGCCTCCTCCAACCTTCAGGGAATAGATAAACCTGGCTTTGGGTAAGTACTCCCCTCTTTGGCTGAGCCCTTATGAAAAGTCCACTCACCTCTCCAACTGGGTCAACACCTATTTCCACTAGGCTCTCTTGGTGCCGGTATTCACCCATCACAGTGCCCATCGCACTGTCTTGTAATTGCCTGTCCTGCTGTCTGTCTCCTCTGCTGGCCTGGGAGCTCCTTGAGGCCAGAACAGGGTACTATTCTCTCTGTATCCCCAGTCCCCTGCACAAGACCTAGCATGTAGCAGGTGCTCAGTTAAACGTTCATCGAATAAGTAAAGTAGCCGGGCCTCAGTTTCACCATCTGCAAAATGGGATGAGGGAGCTCGACTAAAGTCTCATCTCTTAGATGTTTACTTAATAACTCCTGTCAGTTGGCAAACCATGTTACTGCTATAATTTTCTCGAATCCTCAGCATGGCTATGATGATAAAGGTGCTATTCATATCGTTATGTGAGTGACTTGAGCATTTGTGGGTTTTGTTTGACAGATTAGGAAACTGAGGCCTGGAGAGGGGTTCTGATGCTAGACCTCCATGAAAGGCCATAGAGCACTATGGCTATGGGGTTGGGTTCTGTTGGGTGGGTTTGATCCTGGCCTGCCACCTGCCACCTTAGTGACAGAGAACAAGTTATGTCTTATCTTTATACCTCAGTTTCCTCATCTATAAAATGGGAGCATGAATAGTAATTCCCTCCTAGGGTTATTAAAAGATTAAATGAGATGATAGATGAGGAGCATGTAGCAGAGGGCTTGTCATGTAGCAAGGGCTTTATAAACATAGCTATTATTCTGTTATCATGTCTATACCACCATGCTATCTACATCCGTGACAGCCATGGGAGCCAACTAGAAATAATTATTGATTTCTTCACCAGTTGATCATTAATGCCCAGGTTCCTGCCAGTGTCCAAGAAAACTAAAAGCCGATTTCATTCTCTTTGAGCTATGCTTGCACAGGTGCAGTTATCAGTGCCAGTTTTGAGGCTACAAAGTAGACTCAAGACTTCTCCAAGTGGCATCCTGGGATTACTGACATGACATGATCAATAACCAGGAGAATCATGAGTATTTCTTAAAGCTTCATTTTTCTGAGTCAGAATATCGGAGGGTGGGCTGTGCAAAGTCCGCATTTGGAAGCCACTTCACGGAGGAGTCCGATGCACCCCAAAACCTAAGAACCATTGCGCTGGAGTAGTTGACCGTCTCTTTTCCTTGCCTTTGCCCAGGTCTCCGGGTTCTTCGCTGCACACCGAGGTCTGTTTTTTTTTCCTTTCTAAGCAAATATATATGTACTTTTTGCAAGTTATCCCCTGTGTCAGCAGTTGAGGTCAGGCGGCATGCTGGAGAAGAAGTGAAACTTGGTTATGTTGTACCACAGAAGGCAGATTCTGTGCAGACTTGGGAAGTTTCTGAAGCCACAGGATCCTTCTCTCCAATGAAAATAAATGGGGGAAACAGATAAAGGTGGTGCTATCCTAACTGAAATAGGAGTGGAGGGCTCACTAAGCATCACTCTCACTGCTAAAGGACCTTTAGGAATCATGATAGCTCTGTGGAGCAGGGTGAAGCTTGCAGACCTACTCCCAATTGTTACGAGACCAAAGTTCTTGACCTTTGCTGAATATGCTCTGTGACCTTGGGCAGGGTACTCTCTGGCCATAATCACTTGTACATAAGGTAGCTGACTGTTGTATTTGTCAGGGGAGCAGCTGTCGTAACGAATAGACCCAAACGCGTATCATGACTCAAACAAACAGGCGTTTATTATAAGGCAGGCATTTCTGAATGGAGGGTGCTCCTCTTCCAGGCGGCGATTCAGGGACCCATCTCATGTCCCGACGGTCCCCATGGACACCGTCGCTGAGGAAGGAAAGCATGGAGGTAGCCTGTTTTCTTCTGAACTGCCTTCCGCCACACCTAAGAGCTAATCATGTGGCCAATCTAGTTGCAAAGGGGGCTGGGAAACGGAGTTCCTAGCCAGGGTGGCTTCTTCCCAGCGAGAGCTGTGTATTGTAGAGGGGAGATTGGTTTTTGTGACATCTGGCTGTCTTGGCCATGGACATGGTGGCTTCTTGGGTCTCTTCCAGTCTCTGATTCTCAGTCTACATTTTTGTCAATCCCCATCCAACATGCCGAGGAAATTCCTACATTCCAGGCCCCTCAACATGGATTTCCCTGGAACTTAGTCAACAGCTGTCCTCTTTCCATTCTGGAAAAAGGAAGCAAGAATAACAATTTTATGGAGCACAGCACGTTTATCGAGCCAAAGCTTTTCACCTCCATGATCTCACTTAATCCCCTGACAACTCTGTAGAGAAAAGTTTCAGGGTTATCATCCCCATTTTACAGATGGAGAAAAGGAGGCTCAGACAGGAAAAGGGGTCTTCCCAAGGTCACACAGGTCATAAGCAAAGGAACTGGGATTTGAACTCAGAAAATCCTATTCTTGTCCTAGGGTCTCATTGCCTGTGCATATGTATGCCAACACATGTGCATACGCAGGTATAGGTGTGTGTGTGTGTGTGTGTGTGTGTGTGTGTGTGTGTGTGGTTAAGTCAGGGTTTTCTTTGACTGTATTCCCCCAGGGCTGGGCACTGGGGAAGTGGAAATGCAGGGATCATGACCCAAGTCCCTAGAATGAGCCAAACTTACTGATTATAAGGCAGCTGGGTGTTGTTCTTGCCTGAGGAAGCCCAGGGCATCAGGGGCTCCTGGATGACACTGAGGTCTGAACCAAGCCAGGCACATAGTGGGTGCTTGCGATCGACTTCCTGTACGAATAAGCCTGCGGAGGAGGAAAGTTCTATGAATGTGAGAACTTCAGATGAGTCAGGCCCAGTTCCTGTTCTTAGGGCCTTCAAAGGAGGGGAAGCAAACTTATGACATATATTTTCATTTATTCACCCCCCCCGCCCCCCAAAAAAACATGCGTTCGGACCTTCTGTGTGTCTGGTACCCTGTAAGGCCGAACGATGAAAAAGACAGGATTACTTGCCCCCATGTGAGAGATAAGAGAGTGAGGTCTTGATGGGTTAAGGTCATTTGGTGGGACTAGGACCTGGGCCTCCTGGTTCCCAGTCTAAGACTCTTTTCACGCCTCTTGGGTGAGGGGCCGGGCTGGGCCGGGCCTGGGATACAAGGAAGGAGGGTTGGCAGCCACTCTGTGCTGCTTCTGGACTCCAGGACATGCTGGTTTCAGGCAAAATTAGGAAACTTAGTTTTACTTCTCTTTTGGAACCTCCCTGTTTTTGCAATGTTGGGCACAAGCCTGGTAGAGAAGGAGTAGAGTGTCTTGCCCCGCTGGATGGAACCGGGGGCAATGATTCTAAGGGGTGCAGGGTGCTGTCGAAGACAGAGATACCAATGTCTGCTTGGCATCTGTTGACACAGAACATGGTCATACTGGTCTAGGGTTCAGATCCCAGCTCTCCCCTTAACCTCCTGTGGCCTCAGTGTCCCCATCTGTACAATGGGGACAATCTCAGTGCCCACTTCACAGGGTCCTTGTGGGATTAAATGACTTACTACCCATAAAGCACTCAGGACAGCTCAAGCTCAGCCCAATGAAAGCCTTTCTATTTTGATTCTCAGGGAAACAGGCATTGAGATGCGCCTTTGCACATCTGGGCTGATGTGGGCATCTGGCACCCCGTGCCTTCAGGTTCCTAGGCCAGTCTCCTGGCTTCATGCCTCGCCCCGGGGAGAAGTCTGGGCTCCTGTGGTAGGAAGGTGCTCCATCCACCACAGACACACTCTGGTAACCTTGGCGTCACAGCAGCTGACTCAGTCGGGTGGTCAGCTACTACCCAGGCAGAAAGTTGGAATCGGTTCTGCTTTCTCGGGATGTAACTTGGGTTCTCTGATCCCAGCCTTGGGCTCATGCTGAGGGCAGCTCTTGTGCAAGGAGGTGGGTGAGTGTGAGTGGGCGACTGATGCAAGAATCAGCAGCTAGCATACTCGGTTGTTCCTTCTGCGACCTCGGGCCAGAGAGACAGGAGAGCTGGTGAGAGGCCCCACCTCCTGACACCATCACACTGGGGGTCAGGACTTCAACCTATGCCAAGCATTCAACCATAGAGCACTGAGCCAGTCCCCACTCCCATTTTTCAGATGAAACAAGCGAGGCTCAGAAAGTGAGAGGGTCTTGTCTAAAGGTAGCGAGAGAGCCGGGGCACAGCCTCCGTGCACTCCCCCAGCATTTGCTGAGCACCTACTGTGTGCCGGGAGCAGGGGATACCGGGAGAGACGAGCCCTGCCCTCAGGGGTGTCAACAGAGTGGGGTTCATCTAGCCAGAAGGTTGGCTTTAACATGCACGGGGGGCGGGGGGGGCAATTGCCCCTGGCTCGCAAGCCCCAGGACAATCCCATCCATCATCCATTCAGCTCAGGAGGTGAACACTGGGCCCTTGGGACCTTACGCTTCTTGTTAAATGCACTTAAGCTAGTGCCTGTCCGGTGCATTCAGCGCACAAGGTCCTGCAGGCGCAGAGAGCGGGCAGCGCTGAGGGGTGCAGTCAGGAAATACTCAGAAGGAAGCCTGCATTTGAGCTGGTTCCAGGGATGAATTGGCCTTGAGTGCTGGGAGGAGAAGTTGGCCAGAAATAAAAGATATCTCAGGGGAGAGAGCAGCGTGAGCCGAGATTGAGCGACTTGATGAGGAAGGGATGTCTGGGGTGGTGGGCGGGAGCAGGGCGCGGCCGGAGGCAGTCTGGACCCTCTGCGGGGCCTGGCACGTCCCACCCAGTTTTCCGGGTGGTCCAAAGGCAGCCCGTGTCACCGGAGCAGCATCCCATGGTCCCCAGGCCTCGTCCTCTCCACACTTGGTGCTTGAACTTGAACATCTGGACGATGGAGGATTTCAGACCATCTCCAGCTGATGGAGTTGGAACTCCCAGAGGGCGTGCGGGTCCGTGGCTCACTCCCCTGGGTAGCCTGTTCCGTAAACCAGCGTGAAAAAGAGACGATTCCTTGGCTACGGTGGCTTTTTTGACTGAATC